TGGATTTATCAGAAGTCATTGCAGTCATTCGATATTTTTTTTATTTTTTGGTGTCCCTTACCACCTGCCACTTTATGTATACGAGTAGGAATATTATATTGTAGTTCGAAAATGTAATTAAAAATCAACAAATATTTATATATAAAAAATACGTAAACAATAAAAAACGAGTCTCGATTTTTATAAAAATTGTAGTTGGAGCAATATTATGGTGAAATACCAAAGTATGATTTATTATATGAATTAGATCCGATCAAAATATATTTTACATTACTACTAGGTACCTACATTGTAGGTATTGGTGGTATTATACGAAGTTACATTTTACATATTTTAGTATATTTTATGACATTTAAAAGTTTGAGCATACTTTTAAATTACTAATAAGTAATAACTATACAACCTCGTATTGTCTTTCATATGTTATGATTTAAGAAGTCATGATACCAGAATAATGCAGTATCCTACAACCTATTATCTATGGGTGGAGAAAGGACAGCGTTGGATAGAAACGAGGGGCATAATGGAAGCGACGATGGGTTTAAACGGCCTCGAATAAGCCAAAAATAAACTTTTTATCGGTCACAGATTAACTCAAGTACAAACAGTGGCACTTGGCCCTATTTTGTTTTTATGAATGTATGTTATTTCAAAAAAAAAAAAATATGGTCATTATGTATATTATATATTAATACAATATATGTATAAAGGCCTATATTTTAAGTTAATATTTGTACAGATTTGCAAACTAACAGAGTGACAAAAAGAAAACGGAAAAAAATTACTAGGTCATTGAGCAAATTTTTAAACAACAAATTAGGTAGGTAAATCATAATTAATTTAAGTTTCAACAACAGTTTATAATTTACAGTACCTATACGGCTATTATACAACTGTAAAACAGTTTAGGAACCATATTATATTGAATACTTGAGTTATGCAAGAATAGGTCCCCCTACCAATCTCAATAATGAGTGAAATGCAATAATATGGGTACGTATATTAGGTACCTACTGTGTAATCTAGTACGATTTTTATTTTTTATTTCATCTATATTCATCATTATTATGAACATTTAAATGTTCGATAATAATACTTCCTATTGCAATTCACTAGTAGACTATATGATTTCTTTCTCATCCAAGTCCAAACCTAACCTTGATTTCACTATTTTATTGAGCACTGATCAGTCTGATCCATAGACCTTTTACTAATAGACCAGCCCACTTCATGTTTCCACCTAGTCAAGATAGGTTACTGAGTTACTCTGATAAGGTAAGAAATATATCTATGTATTCATACTATACATTTATACCAAACTGGTTGCATCACTGTGATATGTCAGCTCGCGACTGACTATCGATGCTTTTGGTATTTTATGATAGGCCGGTCTATAAGCAGAAAGGTCTATGGTCTGACCATACTAAATAGGTACAGTAAATAGTTACAATAAAATAAATAATAATAAAAATTTAATTTAAAGAATTGATTTATCTTTCTCGAGTGTTAGTATATAAAATACAATATCTAAGGATCAGATCAGAAACAATCCACATTGTTTCAACTTAAAGAATTATACAAAGGGCATAAAGCTGTATGTTATATACTTATTTTTAAAATGTCTTAGATTCATTATTCATATTATTATAATAAATGTAGGTATTATTACTTATAATACGTGTAAATTTTTTTTAATATACGGATTTGTAACGAATATTTAATAATTTGTAATCAATAAAAATTAACTACCTATATAATTTAAAAATTATTGTAATATCCATCATTTATATCTAAAGAGCAGTTCATAAAAAAAATTAAAACGATACATTATTTTTGTAACAAAGTTTTAAGTACAATATTTAAATCCCACTTAATTAAAATTAGTGTGTACCAACATAAAACATTCTATAACCCAATAGTTATTGTTCAAAATTAATAGTTATCGAACATTTAAAACATAATCCGTTTGGATCATATTAGTGTAATACATTTTGATCACATAATTAACATAATAAGAGACGGCTGCACAGATAACCACAGTTTTTATTTTTCACACATTAGCCATTTTTTTTTCCACTTTTATAGACCAGGGGTGATGAAGTATACCACAATAATCATAATTATTATAGACAGTACAAAACTTTTACAGAATACATTTTGACTATAAGAATATAGACTATAGTACACAAGACTTGGAAATAGGAAATTGTATAATTGTACAAAAAGTACCATGTCAACCCTGTTTGTCAGTCCATTCTGTGGGAATTAATATAAAATAGTAGAATACTGTTAAAATAATTTATAAATTGGTACAATCTGGCTCAGAAAAAAATATGATCCGGTTCGTGTTCTTATACAATTTGTTCATATTGGATCTCCCCATATAACATTGAGGTCACTTCCAGTTTAGTAGATATTTTTATTCATTTTAAGATGAAATTCAATGTATATCGTTAGTTACTATATTGATGCTTAGGACTTTCTGATCAGAACTCCTATTTCAAATAGTCATTCACATATTATAATTCATTTATGAATACAAAAATTGTATTATTATTTCTTCAATAGTCAATTCAAAAGTAAATTTGCCAACTATAAGGTGTGTTTAAATGAGCGAGGGGTAGTCACAACCCCCAAAACACCCTTTATCCGGCCGCCCGAATATAAACAAACAGTTCTGGTACACGTGCTGGTGCAGTGGGTGTCTTTAAATTTAGATCAATGATCAACTGAATAATAAACATCATCATTGCAAGCATTAATACAGAATATACGATTCTGTGGAATAGAAGCCTTGAACATTTTAATTAAATCATATTATTATGATATAATTTACCCACCAATTGGTTTTCTATCAACTGCTTGCTATGCTCCCCGCCCCAGCTAAACCACGCAGTCTATATTTGTACGTTATACCTTCTTGATTTTGTTTATTTTATGAGGTAAAGTTAATAAACAGGAAAATCTGAAATATCTGGGAATTAGGATTTACTGTAATTACTCTGAAATATATAATAATTTATATAAATAATTATTATATATTAGTCAAAATCAAGAAATGTAGTAGGTACCTTTCTAAATGATTGTACCTTGTGGCGGTTGTAAGATATACTGAAAAATACCTACAATATAACTAAGTCAGGTGCTGTATACATGCTATTTTGTACTAAAAGCGTTTGTATTTTGCAGTCATGTTCGGCAGAACGTTATACCAACAGCTTACATTTTTGTTTAGATGATTTCTACTCTACACCTTTCGTTGCACATTTACTGCACGACTACACGAGTGACGAGTCACGTCTTAAACTCAGAGGGTCATGGGAACAGGTATCCGATCACGTCAGCTAATAATACTATTTTTATTCATTAATATTTTTTTAGTACAAAAACAATTTAAACATTTTTCATAGACATTATTGCATAAACTATTTTAAACGTTAAATGAAATCCAAGTAGGTACCTATATATGTTGTTGTAAATACTTCTTATTGCAGGGGCGTATTTATGGGGGGGGCTGAATGGGCTGCAGCCCCCCCCCCGAAATTTTAAGAAAATCTAAAAAATATTTTCATGGTCTATGAAAGTCAATGCAAAATTATTAAATTCCATTTTATAGATTTTAAATTCATATTATTTTGTTAGCATATCTTATCACTCATGGACAAAAATACCACGGGTGATAATATGATAATACTGGAAATCATAGATACTAATAACTAATAAATAATTATTATAAACCTTTCGATAACGATTGCCGATCACTATAGAGCTGCACAATATAATATTATATACACATTATTTTTATAATTTTCATGGGCATAGTCACGCAGATTTAGATAATATTATCTCTGTGTGATATAAACACTGTTATCCTGTTATCAGTTTTGTTTGCGAGTTTTAAATTTCCAATCAGTAAATCGGTAATTGTTATATTCTGTGTCTCTGTGATCGTACAAATAATTTTATCAATAATTAATATATTATTATTTAGCGTAATTGTAGTTTACTTTACTTGTACTTTGACTACTGACTACTGAGTTTGTATTATTATAATTCAAAAAATGGACAAATTTATCATTCGAAAAGCGAAGGTAAGTCAATAAAATACACTCTATACCTAATATTATATATTAAATTTACAGAATTAGTTAGTATATTCACCAACTTAAACCAACTTATTTTACAATATAGGATAAAATGCAACTCAGAGCCACTTCCAATCCTGATGATCCGGCTACAGTTGAAAATGAGTTCTTGCCTCCTGTTAAAAAAGTAAAATTGGTATGTTATAAATAAAGGTCTTAATTTTAATTTTACTCTGTATAATATTATTAATACCATATTTTATAGTTATACTATTTTACTCCTCCACTATATACTCATATAAATTATTTAGATGAAACTTACAGACATTACTCAGGTAGAACAGTTTTCTTTATGTATAAGGTATTTTGATGAAACTCTAATGAAAATCAGGGAAGATTTTCTTACTTTTGTCCCAGTTGATGATGTTACTGGTTTAGGGCTAGCCAATACATTACGAAATACATTAGAAAAACTTGGCTTTGATCTAAATAAATTACGTGGGCAAGGATATGATGGTGCTGCGGCAATGAGGGGTAGCTTTCGTGGAGTTCAAGCTATTATCAAAGAAAAATACCCAAAAGCATTGTATACCCATTGCGTTTCTCATTCGTTGAATCTTTGTTTATCAGATGCAGCAAAAATACAAGATATTAGAAATGCTTTTGGGGTGATATCTGATTGTTGCTCATTTTTTAATTGTTCGGCTAAGCGAACCACTATTCTTATAAAACAAAATTTTGGAAATAAAACCAAATGTTCAAGCTACAAAATTAAAATCACTGTGTGAAACAAGATGGGTTTTACGTCATGAATAGGTTTTGCTATTTAAAGAATTTTTGGAGCCCATTGTTGCTGCATTGGAACAATTACAAACTGAGGGAACCCATGGAACTGACTTAACTAGAACTAACGGTATGTTAAACTGCATATGTAATTTTAATTTTATTGTAGCAGTTAATATTTCAAGTAAGTTATTAGGATATACATATAATTTGTCACAATACTTACAAAAGTCAAATTTAGATCTAGCTACAGCTCTTGAACAAATTGAAACCATAACATTAAAATTTCAAAAAATGAGAGAAAATTGTTCAGCTGTATTTGGTGATATTTACAAAGAAGCAAAAGCAATTGCAACATTATTAAATGTCGAGGAAAAAAAACCACGAATATGTGTTAATCAAAGAAATCGATCAAATATTCCACATTGTTCCACTGAAGAATACTATATGAGAACTATTTTTATCCCCCACTTAGATGATTTAATTTCATCTTTAAATGATCGTTTTATGACTCAAAAAGAAACTATTATTTCGTTACAGTATATTTTACCTTCTCTTTGTATTAATAAATCATTTTTATTTATTCGTGAAGCAGTTGATTTTTACGTGGATGATTTGCCAGGTTTTAAAGATACAGTTGAGGCTGAGTATGATTTATGGATATCTAAATGGACCTCAGTAGATCCATCATCAAGACCTACCACCTCCACAGACGCTTTAATTTCTTGTGATAAAACTCTATATCCCAATCTCTACCAACTGCTGAAAATACTTGCCATACTTCCCGTGTCAACTGCATCAGCTGAACGCAGTTTTTCAACACTGCGAAGATTAAAAACATATTTGAGAAACTCAACTTCAGAGAATCGTCTTGTTGGTTTAGCATTACTAAATATTCATAGAAATATTTGTACAACGGACGATATGGTTTTAGACAAGTTTGCCAATAGTGGACGAGCTAGACGATTAAAACTTGTTATATAGTACCTACCTAATACCTACATAGTATATTGTATTTGTATACATTGTGTTTTAAATCATTAAATATTATTTTTTTGTTTTACTGTATTACTATGTTTATAAATGTTCATCAGCCCCTCCCGAAATAAAATTCTGGATACGCGCCTGTCTTATTGATTAACTGTATTCCCTATTTTCAGTAAAGTTAGTTATTATTTACATATTACAACAAATTATAAAAATGATTTCGTATTAATATAGGTATCTGTTACGCTTAAACTATAATATTATTATATTTCTAAAACAATCTATACAATACGGAACTGTATTTATTTTTTTCGATGGTTTTCGTGTATCCGCCTTAACCAGAGTGGTATATATATTTTAATATAATGTCGAAATGTTAAGTACCTATACTGAAATATTGATACCATATATTTTGTGTAGCAGGAAATCGTATATAATAAATAGAATTATATCACGGCTCGATATAATCGTAACATAAGTGACATGACGAACTTATAACGCATTGTAAAATAATCAAATAAATTTCTAAACATTATTGTACATTGATATCGAAGCTGTACGCGTCGTATACGAATACGTAGGTATATAAATATCGTAACGTATAAAACTATTTATTAGGTACGCTTTTCGATTGCGGCGCGACCATTAATTAAAATCTACGCCAACGTATAAAATATACGGTCGTAAGAGCCATTATTGCGGCGACGAAAAAATAACCGTCAATTAACAGACAATAATAATTTATACGACTTTTCGAGTACGTAATATGATTTGATGTCGGCGGATAAAAACGCGAGTTTTATAAACCTATTATTGTCATTATTTATTACTGCCCGTTATTGCCGAGCCGTGCCCGACGGCGGCGGCCGAATGTTTCGTTACGGAAAAAATTGACCCCATAATACCCGTACTCGAACACAAACGGATTATTAATGGCTTTGGGCGGAATTCCGACACGAAATGATAAAGACCCAGTCCGATCGACGTTTATTTTTATAGTAATAGTATAATATACTTTTTCGTTGACGGAAATATATTATGGTTTAGAACCTCTGCAATAGTCCGGACGAATTTGGATCGAGTTAGTGCCCGTATTGCGATCGTTAAACTTAGGTTAAACCACCGAATTCGGCCGATTAAACTCCGGTTAAGTTTAATCGGAGATGGCCCAAAGTGTCGTCCGGATTATTGGAGGTTTTTCTAGTGTCTATTGCAGTGGTTTTCAAACTGGGTGCCGCAAGCATTCACTAATAGTGGGCCACGGTCTTTCGGAAAGTTCGACTATTCGTCAAAGAATACAATTATAAAATATAATTAATAAAAAAATGTTGGACCATTAAGCACACATTCCTAACTAAATTTACTTGTATAATTATAATTCAAAACAGTTTTGTTCATCTAATTATTTAGTGAAAAACAAAAGTCATCACTGTGCCGTGAACATTTTTTGTGAAGCACGGTGACGTGTATAATAAAAGTTTGAAAACCACTGATCTATATTCTATAGTGTATGACTCTATAGGTACCTCGACAGTGCCGGATTACCCATTAGGCGATGTTGGCACCCACCTAAGGGCCCCGTTAGTGTGACCATAGACTTCATCCGCAGCAGCAGCCTAAATATAACGACCGGCGCTACCTTTATTAAGCCGAAAAATGTGAAATGTATCCAAGGCCGGGATTTTAATGCCACACTCTTTCCAAATGAAATATTTATTTAATTTAAAAAAAAAATTGTGTTATCTTTTTACATTTAATAATCTACAGTATTTTCAGTAGGTACCTTTAAAGTTTAAATTTAACTCCAGAAATATTATTCATTTACAGCCCTAGATTACAATATCAACTACCTAGCTCCAAATCAAAAAACAATACAACAATAATATCCAATAGTAGGTGCAAACAGTACTGTCGTCTGTCTTAAGTCTTAGTACTATAGTATAGTTCTATTATAGTAATTATAGGTTTTTTCGAATTCAAGAAATCAATTCGAGAATACATATAATTAACAAAATAAAGATAGGTACTACTTAATTTATTGTGTCTAACATATATACGTATTATCTTTATAAGTTAATACAATAATACTAAAATAGTAAATATAACAATGCATATGCATAAAAATAAAACTATAAAAGAAAATATTTTCTGTTTAAATAAATGTTGTATCATATCTGACTTCAAAGTCGGTTGACCGAAACACTGGAAATTACCGAGGCAGTTCAGGCACTATATGCTGCCACCGTAGACACGTCTGTGCGGTATCCAAGAAATTAGAAAACTATTTTTTAATGAATTTTTTTTTTAACTATCCATTTAATTTGAGGATTAATAGAACAAAATCCAATATGAAAATCATACTGTATATGATATGCAGTAAAAAGGTTTTTTGGATTTTGTCAAATTATAAATATTTGCAGATAATATATTTCATAGTAATATATTGTATATTATCATTTATCCAGGCGGTGACAAACTTTACCGTCGTAAATTACAATCTTTCATCGACCCCTGTAAATATTTGAAGTTATAATATTTTAAGCTAAGCATTATACTATTTACTTTAAGTTAATTTCTTTTTTACAGTTGTTAATAATCATTTTTTTTTAATTAGTAAAACAATTAAAAATATTAATTCTTTTTTTCTGTAGGTAAATAAATATAAGAGTTATAGTGAAATAATTTAATAAACATTGTTTTATTTACTAAAATTATGGTCATTATTAAAATTGTTAATTTTAATTATTGGGTAGGAAGTCAAATTAAAGACGTAAATAAATAATAATTTTCTAGGGGCCCAGAAATTTTAACTGCCTATAGGAACCCACAATAGTTTAATCCGCCACTGATATAGTCAATGAGTGAATACGATGACCAAGAAAGGTTATTCCGCCGGTTTTATATCATAATATTCTGTCAGTTTTTAGTTCTGAATTCTTTCCGATAACAAATTATAATAAAAATAAATTATTTTAATTAATTACGCGATATAGGTACTAGGTAGGTACATATATTATATAATGAGGTGTTCCAAAAAGGTCAAGTTATATAACGAATTAATTTAATTAGCTATTAGTGATAAACTCAGAAATTAATTTTGGAGTAGTAGTCACTGCTTATGATGCTTTATCGACTAAAATGGAAACAAAAATGTTTGAGCAATATATTATTCACGATACAATAAGTAATCGCGGGAGGAGACCCCTAATAACGAATTTAATAGAGATGTGAATGCTGTAAATTTACCAGGTAAACTTTTACCTATAAAATAATTTACTGTAAATTTCATTGATTTTTTTTTACCCAAAAAAAATGTTGTGTTGCCCCTTACATCAAATGAAATCAAAAACGCCTTTCCCGAATTGTACCTAAAGATATATCTTTTTATCAACTGATAACACTAATATTGTACTAATCATATTTTCTATTTTCTCGACACTGTATATAAAGTACCTAATAGTTGAAAGTAAAAAAATATCAATGTTTTGACTTTTGGAAAAAAAATAAAGAAAAATATGCTGTTAATTTTGATAATTTAATTTTAATTTTTTATTAATTCTATTAATAAATAATTAAAATTATTATTATTATAATTATTATTTACTGATACGGAATATTACAGAACAATAGATCCATTGTTAGTTCTTTATTGTTATTATTATAAAGAACTATATTTATCAAGTACCTACCTAATATAGGTATAGGTACAACTGCAGAAATAACAATCGTATATTATTTAATAATAGAAATTATCGCTTAAATTTTTTATTGTTTAACCTTCCATTCTACTTCACAATTTTTACCATTTTGCTGGTAAATTTACCGATATTTTTTTTAAAGTAAATTCTCCGTCTCTAGAATTTGTGTTACGCACTCAGCACAGAATAAAAGTTATAGTTGTATGTAACTAGCATTGATTAGGTATTTATAGTAAGTACTGTGTATAATCAATGGCACTAGGTACCTAAACAATATCATTATATATTTCGTCTGATAACTTCATAAGTGTTATCCGGTATTGTGTTCCGAGAATTTGGATTAATAAATGTGCGCAGTTCCGGTCTACCGCGTTCGCCGGACAATAAATTGAGGTTCTACCGTAATAATAATAATAATAATTAATAATAATAATAATAATATGATGGCGCGTATCGACGTGTGCGCGTGTGTGCGTGTCGGTACGTGTCCGTCCCGGCGTGTGTGCACTCGTTTTCGCCTCCTGCCGTGTGTGCCGTGTGTGTGCCGTGTGGCGGTGTGTGTGCCGTGTGGCGGTGTACGGCGACAGGTGTAATATCGTCGTAGGCCGGTTAACGCCGAACGCGACAGTCGACGCGCTCTCTCCTCACCCGCCGCCGCGTATCATACAACCTCCTTGCATTCCGGTGAGGTTTGGAATGTAGGTAATAATTGCCGTCGCCGCCGCCGCCGCCGCTGTCATGTACACAACAACAACAGACTGTGTACGTACGGTAACATATTATTATTATTACTATTATTATTATTATTATTATTATTATAATCGTCGCTATCAAAAAGTGAGGTGAAAAAATTAAAAAAATCAACTAAAATAAAACCCGAACCGCGATCAGTCTGCTGTAGGGTATACGACAATAGCGATACCCGTAGTTGTTGTACACGCGTCCTTTTCGTCATCGGTCTGTCGTCGTGTCGAACGGCTACCCAAACGAAATCGCCATATCTGAAAGTTGTGATCGTTACCAATTGTCACTGCCGTTCGATATTTCGGTAGACGTGCGTATCGGAGGAGAGCGGTCGCGTCGCGGGCAAAATACGCCGCCGCGGTGAGACGGCGCACCGAGCGCGACAAATGCGACGCGCTCGTCACCGGGACAGCGGACAGCCGAGAGCAGCCGCCGCCGCCGCGGGTCCGTTTTGCCTCGAATAATGTGGCCGAGTCGAAGGTGGCAATTGGACTACCACACAACCACGACCACGGTGTCCACTACCAGGCCATCATCGCGGTACGCTAGCCACTGTCCACAATAACCGTCCGGTCGCTGATCACACGCACAGGACCTGCATAAATGACCAACGATATGGCTTTCAACGAAGTGAGTGTTCCGCGCGCCGTCCATATTAGTCTGTACACGGTTGTATCATTTGTCTGCTTCGCCCGACTTGACGCTCTCTCGTCCGCCACGGTCTGGTGGTACTCATTCGTACAACCGACAACCCCGTTCAAACAATACTCAATGTTATTGTCGTTGCGTTTACGTATAGGTATCCGTTGTATTTACTTAGGCTGTATTGCCCTTTTCAGTTATTGGGTAGATGTAGGTACTTGTTTGTCGAGTTACGATATTACCTATTTGAAATTGTTTGAGATTATTCATAGGTATCATAGATTTCATATTGCTATCAATTTATCTACTGGTTGGCGGTTGTATAACTTACAACTAATAAATAGGTACCTATGTGCTTAATAACAACAGAAACATTTTAGCATTAAAAGTTCTATTTATTGTAAAATAATATCACAAGAATTTGTAAAGCTCTCACTATCAACTTGTTGTTTTACATGAAATATAAAAATTTTAACTATCATGTACCATTTTTACTTAACGTATTGTCATATTTTTTTTGTCAATACCTAATCAAGAATTAAAAATCTTATCTTATTTTGCATATTTCATTTGGATAGATAATAGGTTTAATGTAGATAAGTTCTTGCATAATTATAAAATAATTACTAAAGAAATAAATAATAGGTAAACATCCTGTGTTTTTATTTACCTATATGTTTAAATCAATATCAGTTTTATGTGGTGTATTGTATAATATAAAATGCCTATTATATTATAACATAACATTTACATTACCTAATCAAGCATATACCTTAAAGTTGAGTTATGCAATTTCTAGATATCATTAAAAATTAATTTAGTCTAATCTTATGCAATTAACGACAATAAATGATAACTATTTGAAACTTATTGAATTCCAGTTAAGACAGGTACATACTTTTCTAATAATATTAATTACAGTTTAATTTGTTCTGTCAGTATAACTATATTTTTTTTCTAAAAAAAGTAGCCTTTTATATCAATATTTGTTACATAAATTAGAAGTTATTTATTATTGATTTTTTAGATGGTAATGAAACATCAACACATTGAATGATTACTAAGGCCATAAGGGTAATGGGAGTGTACCTACCAAGGTCATTTATAGGTTTATTTTAGTGTTTTCTTATTGATACAATATTAATAAGACTCATCGATTTTCCTTTTCTATAGGAACTTTAGCTTAGGTATTTTTATCCCTATCCTTAAAAGGCCAAACAAGTTATAACTGACAGTATGAAAAACTATTCAATCAATTTTTCAATAATTTATGGAAAAAAAAATTGTATTTACAAAATCTTTGGCTTCAACCATTTTATTTACTTAGCTACCTAATCCTTATACCATAGTGTTAGAATGTGTCTATTACACATAATTATAGGTATCAATTTATTACAAAATGTTTAAAAAATTCCAACTTGGTTCCTTATTATTCAGAAGACTTAAATTAGGTATTGAAACGTATAGGTAAAAGTTTTAACATTTTCAAAACACAGTGGCATTTCTAACAAATGTATTTTATGAAATCTTCTGAAGTTATGTCTGTTGTTATTATTTATTTATATTTTCTCGACAAGCATATTATTCATTTTCATTGACATTTTAGGATTTAAAATGTGGAATTAGAAATTCCATAAAAGTATAGGTATCTAAATAGATTCTCTATCCTTAAAAATAGATCTTACACAGCTAATATTAGTTAGCATTAAAAAATAAATTAACCTTTTTAAATACTAATGAATAATTGTTTGTACATGTTCAATAAGTTACACAATGTAATAACAGTAAACATCATTATAACTTTCAGCTGTAGTATTTCGATTTTAATGATTAAGTACTGATTATTTTATTCATTCTTTATTTTTCAAAATATAATTAGGCCTATTAAATGTAATTAATTTCTTATCTATTAGGTACCTATTGTTCATATATTATCATACCTATCATTAATCACGATTAGCCAGCATTTTAATGTATAGTTTAATAGTATTTACTATTTACTATTTAGTATTTACTATTTACTACCTATTTATTAGGTTAATAATTATTTTATAAAACTGTAATGCAATTTAAGACAAATTACACTAACGGCATTTTAAATATATTTATATTGGTATTTGTAAGTTGTTATTTCGGTTGTTGTTAAGACACTTTTAAAATACAACAAAGAGATGTAAGGTTTAAAAACTTTAAATTATAACACCAACTTCAATGGCTGATCTCTAAACTCAACTCAATTTTTTAAGTACAACCTAATATTATTATTTGTGTGTTATCAGAAATAAAAATCATTAATTATATACCCTATACACATTATTTGACCTTATAACATAATACTTTTTACAAATGTTATTTAATATTTTACTTACAGAAAGTCGATCCGGAGCTCATATTTACCAAGCAAGAACGTATTGGAAAAGGCTCATTTGGTGAAGTTTTCAAAGGGATAGACAACCGAACACAACAAATTGTGGCCATTAAAATAATTGACTTGGAAGAGGCTGAAGATGAAATTGAAGACATCCAACAAGAGATCATGGTATTATCTCAATGTGACAGTCCATTTGTCACCAAATATTTTGGTTCCTATTTAAAAGTAAGTTCAAACACCATCCAATAGTAAAAAATGTTAAATAGTAATAACCTAAATGTATTTGTTACTTTACTTTAGGGCACTAAGCTATGGATTATCATGGAATATCTTGGTGGTGGGTCAGCTCTTGATTTAATGAAAGCTGGTAATTTTGAAGAAATGCATATTGCTATTATACTTAGAGAAGTTTTAAAAGGTCTTGATTATTTACATTGTGAACGGAAATTACACAGGGATATAAAAGGTAATTTATTAGCATTATTAAAAAAAATATAATATTTTTATTATCTATTATTCTGTTTTACAGCGGCAAATGTTCTGTTAAGTGAAATTGGTGATGTAAAATTAGCTGATTTTGGTGTTGCCGGTCAATTGACAAATACAACTAGTAAACGGAATACATTTGTTGGTACACCATTTTGGATGGCGCCTGAAGTTATTAAACAATCTGCTTATGATTCAAAGGTTCATTTGTTTTTTTAAAAGTGTTACGTTTCGAGATTGAAGTTTAAAAATTATATTGATTCTATAGGCGGATATTTGGTCATTAGGAATAACAGCTATAGAGTTGGCCAAAGGCGAACCACCCAATTCTGAGCTACATCCAATGAGGGTATTATTTTTGATTCCAAAAAATAATCCTCCTCAATTGACAGGAAACTATACTAAACAATTTAAAGAATTTGTGGAGGCATGTTTAAATAAAGATCCTGAAAATGTAAGGAATTTGATTACTGCTATAATTTTTTTTCAGTATTAAATTTTTTATACAAAATAATTTAATGTGTTTTAGAGACCAACCGCTAAAGAACTTTTGAAATTTCCATTCATCAGAAAAGCTAAAAAAAGTTCATACTTGGTGGATCTTATTGATCGTTACAAAAAATGGAAATCTCAACGTAATGAAGAGAGCGAGACAGAGTCAGAAAATTCAGATGTGTAATTATGAAAAATATTTTTAATATTGCTAATGGTTTCATTTCCCGCTTTATAAATAATATCTTTGATTATATTATTTTAATACAGTTATCTTCCATTTTTATAATTTTTATTTTTATTTTAGGGAAGATTCTGGTAAAAATGATAGTGATTTAGATGAACCATGGATCATGACTGTTAGAGGACCCAATTCTTTAAAGCCCTTATTAAACTCCACTCCTGAATCAAGTTCTGCTTCACCATCTCAATTACTATCTAAGAAAACTCAACAGAATGGATCATTACAATCATCTAAAAAGTCATCCAATAACAAATCCAATGTCGTTGAATCAAATGTAATTAATAATTGTTTTGCACTGTTTACTTTTCAATTAAATTAATTGTTGCAAATACCCATACAATTTTAATAATAATATTATATTATTAATTATTTCACAATTTAAACTTTTTTTTGTACTCTTTTTACAGCTAATGATTAATTTAACACGTAATTTTGAATTGTTTATGAAATTAGTTGATTGTCAGTCATATTCATGGATCCAAAAATTCAGATAAGCGCAATTCAAATTCCAAAGAGATTGAAACAAAACGCAGTGTTACTCGCATGTCAGAACATACGGATAATAAGAAACAACCTGTTCATCCTAAGACTAGCCAGAACCATAACAACTCATGCTGGTCACCGTGTCTTTCCCTTTTAATATTTCCATTGATATCTGAGGTAAGTTACCAGTGTATTGTCGATGGGCAAATAATACTTAGTATCTCAAGAAAGTAAAATGTTCAGGAGAGACTAAAATGTGAACACTAGATAACATTTAATTTATGTTACAATAAGTTACGCAAAATTACAATTAAGTATTTAATCTCCTTGAATATTATTATTATTAATATTAATATTATTATCAAATCATGTATTATTTTTCCTCTCTTTTTTTATGTATAAATCACAGAATAATTTTTTTGAGATACGACGTATTGCTTGCCCATCGATGGTATGTAAATTGCATTATACAGAGTGACGACCGACCTTGCATAAAATATGCATACAAAACCTTTTCTTTACCTAACCTAACAATTTTTCATATTTCTTACTTAAATCCTGTATTTTGTGTTTACATAATTTAATTTAATTTGAATTTCAGTTACAAAAGAGATATCGGTACAAAAACGATGTATCCTATAAGATTGATGCTATTGAAGAGTTGAAAAACTCATTCGAGTTGGCTGAACGTGCAAGCCCAGGCATAAGTGATCAGTTTCTCAGGGAAATGATACACAAATTATTACCATCATTATCAGAACAGAGGATATCCAACATGCTAGATCATATGATTAGGTAGTGCTTCATTATAAATTTAACTATTTGTTTATTTGATAAGTACTTATGAAAATTTTTATATTTATTTTACAGGGACAAACATTGATCACAGCTAAACATATTTTCTTTTCACATTATTATTTCGTTATAGTATTCTCATAAACGTCCTAGCCAATCAGTTTGATCAGACAATAAATAAATAATTCATCTTTCAAATTAGTTTTTTTTATGATTATTATCAATTTTGTTTAATTTTTTTTTTTTTCTATTTAGGTGTTATACTGTGAGTTTTTAAATACTAGTTATTATTATTATATTTTTTTTTTTTTTTTTTGTTTATAATTTGAACTGTTGTATGATTGATGTGTCATAAATTTGTTTAATTCAGATCCTAAAATGTTTTGTAGGGTATTAGTGTTAAATTTTGTGAGGGCAACTCGAATGAATAGTATTAATTATGAACCCTCAGGAACACGCGTTTAACACATTATCATTATTATTATTATTATTATTATTATTATTATTAATATTATATATATATTTTTTTTTACTATGTTAAGTAAATATATATAAAAAAAAAATTTTGTTGAAAATTTAGAATATTAATTGAAATTATTTTTATAATATCAGAGTAAATTAAAGAAAAGTGCTTGTATATTTATTTTTACAAAACCAAATCAATAGATATTTTCTTTACTGCCCACTACCAACTCTATATTGTTGTTAATTATTTCTTCTTTAAATTTAAAATTTTAAGCATGCAATATATAATTATTGTTTAACACAGTATTTAATTTATTAAAATTGGATTATCACATTTTTGTTTATGTGTCATTTTGTTTATATAATACTGTAATGAAAAACAAGTTATAGTTATTGTGTCTGGTTCTATTCAAAAATTCATTTAAAAAAAAAAATACTACATATGCTTGGGAGGCCGAATCCAATACAATTGTCGATTATCTGTATCGAATATTAGATATATATTATTATTTTTGTGTTGGAATAATCCATGAGGTGCGAAAAACAAATTTCGGGAACACATTTTTATATACCTTTACATGCCACGTGGACGTGATTTTTATTTATTTTTTCTTATTTTACGTCTTTATTTTTTGATCTTTCAACATTGCCATTTTTTGTCACTTGATCACAATTCACAATTTAAGTCTCCTAACTTTCTCTTGTCTACTTCTAGAAAATAGAAATTACAAATTAACAAAGAATTTTAAAAATGATTTAAAATTTCACAAACATAATTACTAATTATATAACCATGGTCAATGGCATATTGACACATAAAATATAATATAAATATATAGGTAATATGACGTTCTAACCTGCTTGTTCTAACCTACAATTTCCTCCCCTACAATCAAAAACAAACAGTTAATGGCCATAGTTACCGGGTTTCACGATCAATAAAAAAAAAAAAAAATTAAACATTTTATAAATTTTCAACTACAAAATAATTTAAATATTTTCATAATATTGATGAATTTTGTCAAAACTTGAACCTCACATGCTTATATAGTGCCTATGTAACATTAATATTTTTAAATGGCTATAGTAAAAACTTATGAGGAACCCGCCAACCTGTTTTTACATATTTTATTTATCTAAGCTTTTTAACATAAGGAAATATTTTTATTTTATTTATAGAAAAAAAAAGTTAAATGTCTAAAAAATAACTCAAAAAGAGTCAAAATAATTTGAAATTTATACCATGTATTGAAATTCAAGTATCTATACGGTTATCCTTTTTTGAATTACAACCAAATAAGTAAATTGTTTGATGAGATATCATATTGTATGTATTTTGTAATATAGTACTGTTACAAATAAACGATTTCTGCAGTCAGTCATAAGAATGTTTACACAGATCCTCCACTTATGTGGGTTAAAATTGAAAAAAGGTGGGCAAATGGCCGGTGTCACTCTACTGTACAGAAGGTTACAAGTGGATCACTGTAGTCTGTAATTGATATTGTTAAATTTGAATTCAATGATATATCATTGTATGAGAATAACGATTCTGAGCGAAAACGGTCAGTCAGCCCATGATATTACTAAGTATATTTGATGATATTATTGTGTGAATAAAGTAATTGATATATAACCTATTTACGTGGAACCTTGTTTTAAATTTTTAATCCTTAGCTGTAAAAGATGAACATTTTTAAATTTTAAATTTGATATATTTTGTCAAAATTCGAACTCTAAATTTTTATCAAAAAAAACTTGCCTATGTGTTTTCAATGTTTTTCAACTGCTATTGTAACAATATATCAAAAGCCTTTCATTCAATTTTCACGCTTTTATAACCAACAAATAGATTTTTATTGATATTTATAGAAAAAAAAATTGAAAACTGACAATGTAAACAGCTCAAAAAGAGTCAAAATATTTTCAAAATTTTATGGTTAACAGAATATTAAAATATAAACATTCAATATAGGTAATTTTCATTTATTTACAGTTATTCGTTTCTGAATAACAACATAATAAGAAAATCGCTTTATGAGAAATCGAGTGAATATCCTATATCGTAAAAATATGAAATTCAAACGCTCATAAAAATTTAATTTGATTTGCTTGAAGGCATTTTTTTTTTTTGATTAAGATAGACAAACTTATGAATTATCTTGTATTGTATTTTCAAATCTTAGATTAAAAAAAAAAAACAATATTTATGAATTTCTAACTCAAAATAATTTGCAAATTTTCGTCATTTTTACGTAACTTTATTGTCAATATTTGAACTTTAAATGCTAAGGTATAGAAAAAAATTGTGACTATGGATTTTTAATTTTTTTCATCTGCCTTTGAAACGATATATTAGGAGCCTTCTATTAAATTGTCAAGCTTTTTTAACCAACAAATAAAATTTTATTGATATTTATAGAAAGAAAACTAAAAAATTGGAAACTGAAAATGTCCGTAAACAGCTCAAAACAAATCAAAATATCGTGTATAGGAAATGCAAATATAAACGACCCGTGAAAATGTCAGGCACTTGCGGTCATTTGTTTAAGAGTTGCACCAAAAACCAAAATCAATTTTTTCGAAAGCAGATTTTGCGTAAAAATTCCTGTTCCTTAAATTTTCTTTTGTTTTTCACTGCACTTTTGAAAACTACCTGAAAAATTTTACTTTCCCCCCCCCCCCCCATGTAACAACTAAATTCACTTTCCATTCAGAAAAGATACTGTTGAAGATAATCTTAGCACTTTTACTGTCTTAAAAGGTGATAGACACAAAAAAAATTTCAAAAAAAAAACACACATCATTGTAAAATCAATACATTCATCGTTTCATTCAAAATCTAAAATAAAAAATATCGTTATTTTACGATTGAATAGTTAATGTTGTTAAATTTTAAAATTCAGAAATTATATTATTGAAATTTCGATCAACTTTATTTTTTATTTCAGGAATAACAACTTACTGGGAACCTTGTATTAAATGTTCAAATCATAGGTATAAATATTCAAAATATTATGAATTTTAACTTTAAACGCTTAAATGAAATTAATGTGAATTTGGTTTTTCAATATTCTAATAATATTGGTAGGTATACAAACAACTTATGATCTATGAGGAACCTTGTATCGAATTTTCCAGGGCATGAAACCGCTTATGAAAAATTTGGTTACCGGAAAAAAATGTTCGTAAGTGGTTAGGATCGGTTTTAGGGGTTTTTAGAATTAGTTTTAATTGATTACCGGTTCCCAATATGAATAATAAAATAAATAATAATCATCTAATACCTATGTTTTATAGCTAGTATGTCTCTGAATCAATGAATCGTACTTACTGCCTACTTAGTGTCTACGATTGGTGCTTATTACTTATTATTGAGGCTACAGATAGTAGTAGGTATACCATCTATTTAATCGTACTTATTATTACATTACATTTATTATATTGTAAATAAAATTATATATCAAAAAAATAGAATATAATTTCCAAAAAAAAAATATAAAAATTTAAAAATCAAATATAACGTTATTTTTTTGATATTTTGTTGAATTGACTGGTTTTTAAAAAAAAGGTTACCGCTACATGTTACCCCTTAATTGAAATTGGTGGTTACCGGTAATATTGTTAACCGCTTTTCCAAAATTTAAACCGGGAAGCGGTTACCAGACCCAAAATTGGCCATGGTAACCCGCGGTTTCCGTTAAAAACCGGTAACCGGTTTCAAGCCCTGGAATTTTCACACCTTGGTTTAAAAAAATTTAATGATTTTTAATTAAAAACAATTTTGTAATATATATAAATCGTTACTTTATAATTGTACCTACCTACCTACCTAAATATCCAATATTTTTAAAATTTGAATACCTACTAAGTACGAAGTATTCATAAAAAAAAATGCATGTGGCTTAACGCGGAATTTTTTTAATTCCAGTTGACGAGTTAACTTGTTCTGAATTTTCATATCGGAATATTAAAAAATGTATATATTTAAGATTCTGATGGAACGAAAGAATGTAGGTACTAGGTAGTTATCTATTGATTTTACAATGATTGAATGATGTATTTTTGTTAAATATAGTCAAATTTTTACTTAAAACGGTCAAAAAATGTACTGTGGATTTATGCTCATCATATTATACTTCATTGCAAAATCAACAGAGTTGAGATGTTTAAAACATTTTGTTTTAAACACCTGTTTAAAACATGTTTTAAACATCTAAATTGATCAAACATGGTTTTGTTTAAAACGTTTAAAACAAATGATTTAAACAACATAAAAAAAAAACAGTTTAAAACAGAAAATCATCATTTATGTGCATATAACTTATTATTTGTAAGTTCATACTGGCAACTCCTATTTATTATTATTTTTTATTTCATAAACAAATTTAAAATTTATAAAATTTATAATGATAATTTGACTTATTTAAATAACTAACACTTCAATGGTTATATAATATATTACTTCTGTAGTTCTGTAGGTAATATATTTATTAATTATTTATTTATTTGTTTAAATTACATAACAATTACTAATTAGTAATTAGTAATTAGTTGTATTCCAACATAAATAAAAAAAAAAATATATATAAATTAATATCAACTTGATAGGTAACATAATAT